AGGCAGAAGCACTAACAAGGAGGCTAAAGACTGCAACCTCTAGCGTCAGTCGCTGTTTACCTGCACAGCACTTACTCGCTGGCCTCCGTTACACTTAGTGTGAATTATTAGCTTTAAAAGCTAACGATTAAATCATAAAAATGTAAAATGCAAAACATTTTTAAATAAAAAACAAACGAAAAAGGAGCCGTTTTCGAATTTTTTTACTTTCAATACTAAATAAAAAAAACAAACGAATGAATGATACACGGATTCTTTTTGCGCCATACAGCGCCATTGCACCATGCGCGTCCCGAGTTCGAATCCCGGTTCCAGGACCGATCCCGCCCCCGTCTCTCTCCTACTTCGTTTCCTGTCAGCTTTAAACTATCCTATCACAATAAAGGCAAAAATGCCAAAAATAAATATTTAAAAATCTAACATTTGGAATTTAACGCAAATGACTGAGATGCAGATGTGAAGAAAACGAGCCCAAGAACGCGCTCTAGAAAGTTCAGACGGGGCTCAAATGGCATTCGTGTAACTTTAAGAGAATAAAAACACTGTCGTTCTCAGCAGCAGTGAGTCGCTCTTTCATCAGCTCCATCATCAAAAAGCCTATAAGACACAGATGGTGAGTGTGCGTCTGCGCTGAGGCGGGAGAAACGGCTCCGTGACTGATTCAGGAGCGTTCGACACCTGCTCTAGCCTGCGGGAGAAGGGCACGAGGTGAACGGGAGCCCTTTCAGCGCGACACGCTCCTCATCAGCATCGCTGGAGGTCACCTTACGAGAAGATCCTGCTGAAACACCGAACTCTGCTGTCACGTTCACACTGTGGATAAACGCGGCGTCACTCCTCTTCTGAGCGTCTCATCGCGGTCAGCTGCATGTTAAAGCATCTTATGATAAACTGGGAGATGTCAAATGCTACGACCGTTTTCTCAATGGTTTTCTTGAACACAGAACTTAACATGCAGCTGTGTCACAAATCACATTCTACTTCTAACACAATCTACAAGTTTGTACTTTACTGACGTTGGGAAAGGCTAGCCTACATACTTTTAAAAATCAATGTTAAATTAAAACATATAACTTAAAAAAAACCAAAAAAAAACCCACCAAACATTAATGAAATCATAAAAATGAAAAATTATTAAAAGAATAAAATGAAGACACTAAATTAAACCAAAACAAAAATAAAACACTGGACATTAAATTTTAATGCAAATGAAATACTATTAGTAATTAAATGATAAAAATACACAATTAAAATCCAGTTTTAAAATAAAACAGAATACTGACAAAAAATCAAATCATAAAAATGTAAAATTAAAATAAAGGATTAAAATAAAAACAAAACACTTATGAAAAATTAAATCATAAAATAAATGATCAAAATAAAATAAATCAAAACACTAAAATTTATTGTCACAAAAATGCAAATTTAAAAGAAATGATTAAAATAGAAACAAAAAATAAAACACTTATCAAAAATAAAAATAAATCAAAACGCTAACAATGATTAAATAATAAAAATGCAAAATTAAAATAAATTATTAAAATAAAAAAACACTTACTAAAAATAAAAAATCATAAAAATAAAAAATTAAAATACATAATTTAAAAAAAGAATAAAAATAAACCCTTACTAAAAAGATATTATATTTTATTTGTTTACCTGCATGTCATGTGGCCACTAACCAACTTCAGAGAGCTGTCTGTGTATACGCTAATGTGTTGTTAAACTACTGAAATATTCACTTTGGTAATTAATGCCAAAGGGGTTCGCCTGACAGAACGCTTTGAAATCTCTGGTTTAAAGAATAAGATGTTTCTCCTCTCAGCTTCAGTACGCTGGTCTGACTATAGGTCACGCGAGATCCGTCTCATCCTAAACACCAATCGCACGTGATGTTGAAGACTAACAGTGTTCAGCTAATGGCCTGTGGGAAGACAAATGGAGCTGTCAGGCCTAAGTGAGCATCTAAAGAGAGATACATCTCTAACACCAACCCAAGACCTAAAACCAGCGTATCAGGAGCTCTTCCTCACAGAGAAGATGAAGCACGAACATCACTTTACTGTTCATAATGTGTTTTCTGGAAACTGGAATCTCGCTCATGATTGTACATAAAGAGATGATCAACACAATACAAATAATAGAATTGAACACAATAATAATAAAAACAACAATAGCTTCTTCTTTGGTTTAGAAATGACCGCTTTCATTCATAACTACACAAAACTACAGGAACTACTTCTTCTATTGCTTTAGACTGACTGAGTTCAACTATCAGCGTCAACAATCGCAATCCTCTACACACGGTTTTGCTTTCGTTTAGCTTTTTAAGTTTTTAATTATGTGATGCTGAGTTAATTTAAATAAAGATGCAAATGTAATGTGTAAATTGATCTAATTAAATCCTAATGTAAAATTACATTTGTTATTTTTAAATAAAAACAAGCAAAATAAAACACTACAAATACTAAAAACACAGTTTTAAAATAAAAACAAAAAATACTTACTAAACAAGAAATGAATCATAAAAATGTAAAATTAAAATAAATGATTAAATTAAAAAAATAAAATAAAAAAACACTTAGCAGGCTGAAACATTAAAGGTGACATATCATGAAAATTTGACTTATCCAGGTTTTAAGTGCTATAATCAGGTCCCCGGTGCATCTACCAACCAAGGAAACGTGAAAAAGTTGAACCCAGTAACTTTGTTTTGGGAAGCCTTTTTCTGCGAGCATCTGAGAAAACGAGCGCGTCTGATTTCGCTCCCTTGGTGACGTGGTTTAAAACGCATGATTTCAGCACGATAAACATGATAATCAGAACCAAAACAGATGTTTTTAGCAGGTCCGAGCTGTAATGGCGGGGCTCTATTCTGGAAAAGGGGGCGGGGAGCAGCAGCTCATTTGCATTTAAAGAGACGGGCGCGAAAAACAGCGTGTTTGTGCTTCCACTCAAAATAGGCATTTTCAAAATTATATAATAAATGATCTGTGGAGTATTTTGAGCTGAAACTTCACAGAAACATTCTGGGGACACCTGAGACTTATATTTCATATTGTAAAAAGGGGCATGATATGTCTCCTTTAAACTTAATAAAAACATTAAGGTTTAAAAGTATATATAATATCTATAATGAAAGAAATGTATATAAAAACAAATCTAATGCGTAAAACGATCAAATATTAAAAAAATTAAAAGTTTTTAAAAAAAGTATTATTTGGTTCAAATCTAATGTGTAAATAAATCAAAATTGATACAAACAAACAATTAGAAAATGAAAAAAAAAAAAAAAAAACGTATGTTTATCAATTGCAGCAAACTGCTGTACTGTTTTTCCCTCTTTGTGAAAATTAATGTTCAGTAAAATGCAATGCATTCAGGAAAATTATAATTACCTAATTTTTCTTCAAATGAAGAAAAGGTGATATCAGGATTCAGTCCCAACATGATTAACACATGATGCCGGATATTAAACAAAATTCAGATGTATTCAAAATTAAGGCAACTGAGATTTGTGTAAATTCCTACAAAACCAACACTTGACAGAAGAAAATCAACAGAATATAACGATGCAATAGCTTAATATCTGAGGAAGACGATATGTGTTCTTCTTTATTATTTTACATCATATCCGCATCTATCAACGCAATGTTTTCATATTTATGAACTCTCTGAAGGAGCTTCAGTCCAACAGACATTAAAAAAACAATCATCAGCTCATGAAGCGGCCCTGCGGTGTCCTACAGTCCAGCTGGGGAATGAGTCAAGTCAGTGTTTTTGGTGCTGAGGTCACCTGGAAGTTCATTGCGTGTCCATAATCTGAGTGCAGAGCGTCCATCAGAAGGCAACGCTGATGTACATTCACCTCTTCAGGATGCTATCTGACAATAAAACACAAAATCATAATCACACAGAGATAGAAATGCAACTACAGTGCACAAATGAAATTGTAAATGCAAAGAAAAAAACACGAGTTTGTAAAGTAAATTAACTAAATAAAAAAATAATGCTTGTTAACGTTAGTTAATGCATGAACAGGTATTGTGAACTAGTTTAAAACATTTATTAATATATTAATAAAATGTATCACAACATTTATATGAAGCATTAAAAAACAATATGTTTACAGCATTTATTAACAAATATATTACAAAATTTATATTATATATATATTCACACAACATTTATATTAAGGAATTATAAAAACAATACATTTACAGCATTTATTTCTTAATTTCTACATGTACTAAGACATTTCAAGTTAGTATATTTAATTAATTTAATATTATTTTATAGCTAGATTAATGATTTGTATTAGATGACATATTAACTAACGTTAACAATTTTATTTCAGTCTTGACCAAACATATAAAAGGCCTGTAAGGTATCATCAAAGTACATTAAATTAATTTATTAATATAGCATTTATTTCATTAGCAAATAATAGTATTGTTAGTATATTTAAACCCAGATTAATGATTTAATTAATTGTAAACATGACATTGTAAAAAGAATATGAAAGGCCAGTATGGTCATCAGGTTGCATGTAAGTTAAGGCTGTATGGATGGCTAGTGTTGCTTTTGTCATGTTTGTGAAGTTGATAGTGTGTAGGGTGCAGTACACAGGACGTAGTGCGCACTTGGACTGGTAGGAGCAGGGTTGAATGTGGTCGCTGGTTTCCATGGTGATCTGTTGCCGTGCTACATGGACATCCTGTGACGAGGGAGCTTCTGTTACTACACCCTGAGAACAGGAAGTGACATCGTCACGCAGGAAATCCTCATAAAGGCTGCAGTTTAATTAAACGATATTAGACGCTGTGTTTCAGAGTGAAGCGTGGCACTGTGTTCATTTACACATGAGCAGCTCATGATCCGACAGTGCTTTCAGTGTCTCTGATCGCAGTAAATGTTTGTATGTTTATCAATTGCAGCAAACTGCTGTACTGTTTTTCCCTCTTTGTGAAAATTAATGTTCAGTAAAATGCAATGCATTCAGGAAAATTATAATTACCTAATTTTTCTTCAAATGAAGAAAAGGTGATATCAGGATTCAGTCCCAACATGATTAACACATGATGCCGGATATTAAACAAAATTCAGATGTATTCAAAATTAAGGCAACTGAGATTTGTGTAAATTCCTACAAAACCAACACTTGACAGAAGAAAATCAACAGAATATAACGATGCAATAGCTTAATATCTGAGGAAGACGATATGTGTTCTTCTTTATTATTTTACATCATATCCGCATCTATCAACGCAATGTTTTCATATTTATGAACTCTCTGAAGGAGCTTCAGTCCAACAGACATTAAAAAAACAATCATCAGCTCATGAAGCGGCCCTGCGGTGTCCTACAGTCCAGCTGGGGAATGAGTCAAGTCAGTGTTTTTGGTGCTGAGGTCACCTGGAAGTTCATTGCGTGTCCATAATCTGAGTGCAGAGCGTCCATCAGAAGGCAACGCTGATGTACATTCACCTCTTCAGGATGCTATCTGACAATAAAACACAAAATCATAATCACACAGAGATAGAAATGCAACTACAGTGCACAAATGAAATTGTAAATGCAAAGAAAAAAACACGAGTTTGTAAAGTAAATTAACTAAATAAAACAATAATGCTTGTTAACGTTAGTTAATGCATGAACAGGTATTGTGAACTAGTTTCAAACATTTATTAATATATTAATAAAATGTATCACAACATTTATATGAAGCATTAAAAAACAATATGTTTACAGCATTTATTAACAAATATATTACAAAATTTATATTATATATATATTCACACAACATTTATATTAAGGAATTATAAAAACAATACATTTACAGCATTTATTTCTTAATTTCTACATGTACTAAGACATTTCAAGTTAGTATATTTAATTAATTTAATATTATTTTATAGCTAGATTAATGATTTGTATTAGATGACATATTAACTAACGTTAACAATTTTATTTCAGTCTTGACCAAACATATAAAAGGCCTGTAAGGTATCATCAAAGTACATTAAATTAATTTATTAATATAGCATTTATTTCATTAGCAAATAATAGTATTGTTAGTATATTTAAACCCAGATTAATGATTTAATTAATTGTAAACATGACATTGTAAAAAGAATATGAAAGGCCAGTATGGTCATCAGGTTGCATGTAAGTTAAGGCTGTATGGATGGCTAGTGTTGCTTTTGTCATGTTTGTGAAGTTGATAGTGTGTAGGGTGCAGTACACAGGACGTAGTGCGCACTTGGACTGGTAGGAGCAGGGTTGAATGTGGTCGCTGGTTTCCATGGTGATCTGTTGCCGTGCTACATGGACATCCTGTGACGAGGGAGCTTCTGTTACTACACCCTGAGAACAGGAAGTGACATCGTCACGCAGGAAATCCTCATAAAGGCTGCAGTTTAATTAAACGATATTAGACGCTGTGTTTCAGAGTGAAGCGTGGCACTGTGTTCATTTACACATGAGCAGCTCATGATCCGACAGTGCTTTCAGTGTCTCTGATCGCAGTAAATGTTTAAAAAGTTTAAGTCTAAATAAACAAAACACTTTATAGTAAGGCTAGTTACCGTTAGCAAATGCATTAGGTATAATGAACTGACAATGAAAAATGTTTACAGCATTAATTAATATATTCATATTTTTTTTACAACATTACAACATGTGTATTAGAGCATTATCAAAACAAAGTTTTCAGCATTTAGTTAATTTATTAATACAGAATATGAATGTTAATTTCTACATATGCATTGCTTATAATAAGAAATTAGGAATGCAATATGTTCCAAACATCTTCCCAAACTTGTAGTAAGTTTTTATAAACCTTCCGTTGTCAACAAAATATAACAGCAATATAAAAGCTTGAATGTTCGAAAATGAAGACATTTTCAACCAATAAAACAGCCCAAAATATTAGTATTGCAATTTTACAGTTGTCCTGTACAATAACATTATTATTATTATTATTATTGTTGTTGTTTCTTAAATGCTTGATTTTTATTTTACAGTGAAATATTAGAACGGCAAATTGTTATTTCGCTTAATATTTTAATATTAAAGTTATTATTGAATAATAATAATTATAATACAATAATTATTGTTGTTATTATTATAGACAGATTGATATATAATCACAATTTCTTGTCAAATTGTGCAGAATAATAATAATAATAATTTTCTTATTATTACTATTGTCAGATTGATACATAAATCTCAACTTTTTGTCAAATTCTGCAGAAGTAAAAATAATAATAATAACAACATACAGTATTATTATTATTATTATTGTCATATTGATATATAATCACAAATTTTTCGCCAAATTGTTCAGTCTTACAAACAAGCAAAGTTATTATTATTATATATATATATATTTTTTTTGCATTTTAAAACACAATACAATCACAATTAACTTTTGCCCAAATTGTGCAGCCCTAGTATTTATGTAACTCATGAAACATGCATGATTTACCTCTACAGGAGGGACCGGCGTTAACTGATGGATGAATGTTCCTTGCATAGGGGCCACACGAGCTGGAGCTCCTCATCTACACACACACACACACACAGATCAGCACTGGAAAACACACACCTGCAGTTCTCCTACCGTCCTGCAGAGGGCACTGAGTGATCGAGAGCTGCAGTGCAGATCACGCTGTCTTTTGTGTGTGTGTGTGTGAGTGTGTACAGGTTTATATATCCTGGGGAGTATAGATATTCAGTACAGCAGGGAAGAACTGCAGAATATACTGTTATTCAGATTTTTAAAAAATATTATTTATATAATAGCTGCTTTTTTGAACATTTTAGCTATTTAAAAATATATAAAAATATTTTTTTTTACACGGCACCCCGGTTGGGAAACACTGCTCTACTCTGTACCTGTTTTAGCTTCTCTCTAATTCTCACAGGCTTTTCTGTGCATTTCTCAGGTTTAAAGTACATCAGCATCATACTGATTCTGGTGTATATGGTGTGTATACTGGTGCACACATGGTGTATACTGATTGGGTGTATATCCGGTTTTCAGTCTGGTATATAGTCCAGTATATAGTCGGGTTATTAGTTCGGTATATGGTCCCATATATAGTAGGTTTTTAGTCTGGCATATATTCTGTAATATAGTCTAGTATATAATCGATTTTTTTGTCTGTTATTTAGTCAGGTATATAGTTCAGTATATAGTCTGTATATAGTATATAGTCCAGCATAGTATAGTATACAGTCAGATTTTTAGTCTGGTATATAGTTGGACTATATATAGTAGTATATAATAGGTTGTTAGTCTGGTAAATAATCTGGTATATAGTCCAATATATAATCAGTTTTTTAGTCTGTAATATAGTCTATTATTTAGTCAGGTTTTTAGTCTGGTATATAGTTCAGTATATAGCCTGTTATATAGTCTGCTATTTAATTCAGTATATAGTCTGGTATATAGTTCAGTATACAGTCCATTATATAGTATTGTATATAGTCTGTTATATAGTTCAGTACCCAGTCTGTTATATAGTCCATTATATAGTCTGCTATATAGTTCCGTATATAGCCTGTTATATAGTCTAGTATACAGTGTTATATATTATATAGTCTGTTATATAGTTCAGTACCCAGTCTGTTATATAGTCCATTATATAGTCTGCTATATAGTTCCGTATATAGCCTGTTATATAGTCTAGTATACAGTGTTATATATTATATAGTCTGTTATATAGTTAAGTATATAGTTCAGTATATAGTCTTTTATATAGTCTAGTATACAGTCTGTTATATATTATATAGTCTGTTATATAGTTAAGTATATAGTCTGTTATAAAGTCTGTTATATAGTTCAGTATATCCACCTTATTCTTCCTGTAAAAACGGACCTGGTCTTGCTTCCGGTCTCATTCGCTTCCAGCTATTTTTAGCTGTACAAAACGCTCATTTTGCTGCTTGATATTGCAAATTGGTGTGTCTTACCATATTATTTTAATGTATTATCTTAATTATGAACACATTGGTTTGTAGTGCAAACAGTTTTACTGTTTACTGCACGTTGTTATTCTCCTCGTTATTTACCTATAGCGGTTAATGATCCGGAAGTCTCACCCATAGGCTTACTTCCGCGTTGAAGAAAAAGGTGGAAGCGAGCAAAGACCATACATTATCAAAGAATATAACTGAATTCAGTATAGAGTAAGCACTCTAAAAAACTATGTTATAATCCGTGATGTTGTATGCAGTGTATGAATTAATCTCTTATTTACATCGCATACATCTGCACTTTGTTGTTTCTGATGAGAGAATTCGCCAAAGTGCACTGACCAAAATTTTTGCGTATCAGTGATGTTAATATTTAGCAAAATCCCCTTAAATAATAGAAATATTAAAGAAAAATTCTTGATCTAAAATCCCTACAGCAGCTAATGGACCGGAAGTCTCTCCCATAGGCTATATAGTTCAATATACAGTCTGGTATATAATTCAGTAGACAGTCGGGTATATATTCTGTTATGTAGTCTGGTATATAGTCTGCCTTATAGTCCATTTCATAGTTGAGTATACAGTCCGGTATATATTCTGGTATATAGTCAAATTTTTAGTAGGATATATATAGTCTGGATATAGGCCAGTATATAATCTTGCATACAGTCATGTCTTTAGTCTGGTATATAGTGTGGTGTTAAGTAATATATATTATTCTGACCAAAAACCACTTATATCATCTGACCGTACTGTACAGTGACCAAACACAGGTGATGTTCTCGTGATATTTAGTGTTGAGTAAATGTGGAATCAGAGCAGACAACATATAACCCCACATCAGCAGAGGTCCCCAGTGTCAGCTGACTCATCTGTTGTGTTAGTGGAGTCATTACAGTGCTGTGATCTAGAGCTGGACTGATGAGTGCTCCCTACAGACACACACAGACAGAAAACACACACATTTAGCTTATTTATTTACCAACTGCAAACAAAAAAAGACTTCTTATTAAGCTCCTAATTAGTCATTTTTCGCTTTTTTTCGGTTAAAATATCTAAAAAATGATAGAGAAGCACATCTGCACAACAACTTAAGACTTGTTTTTATAGATTCTATAATTAGCTTTTCCGTACAAGCATATTTTAAATTAGCATAAACAAAATCTCAGTGCAATAAGACAAAACACAAATATTTTAAAAAATACGTAAAGTTTGATGTCTGAAAACAAGTCTTAATACCATAAGCAGCGTTGCTTCAAGTGAATCTATTGTTTTAAGGATCTGTAGAGATTTGTTTGAAGTTGAAAACCATATAAAGATATAGATTTTTTGCAGTGTCCTTTTTCTTTTTCTCATTGATAACATTGTGTTCTTCCTGTAGAAATAAAAAAGGACATCTACATCCACACGAGCCCGTTCTCCAGAAAGTGTTACTGTCAAGTCGACGAGTTTGTGTTGTGTAAAAATAAATGAAACTTCAGCACAGAACACACTGATATTGATTTAGTGAATGTCATATAACCGTGGGTTATGGTTGGCTGATCTGAAGCAATCCGTCTGTCTGGCTTCATTTCAATCAACGACTTTAACACGGCAAACACTCCAGAAACAGCATAAGGAGCATGTTACAGGAGTTTATAGGAGAATAAGACCGAATCAGCAGCTAACTAACTCAAGTCTAAAACTACACAGAAATATAATGCTCTCAGAAAGGTGCACAAACATATTACTGAGATATTGTCACATATTTTCATACAGATATTCTGAAATGCATCTGTGAAACTTTTAGCATGTGCAATTTAGCAATTCAAGTTGTCTCAGAATCAGTCAGACTGAGCAAGAAACATTTTCCCACAGTCATTAGTTTTTCATTATTATTATCAGCCTCTCTAATGCAATTAAGGAAGCTGTTTCTGCTACTGTACCTTTAAGGCTTGTGTCTGTAAATGGTCATAGAGAGAGGAAAGGTCAGAGGTCACTTACTGTCGGCTGCATCACATACTGCTGCGGCATCCATGCTGTGCTCTGAACCTGAGAGGAACAACAAACAGCCTCTTCCAGCATTCATAAACCATAAACACTGTCCACACACGGCCCATTAAAGGGTTAATATCGCTAACTAAAACTACAAGCATTAAATAAACATGAACTGAAATAAAATAAAAAACAAACACATTTCAGCAAGTAGCAACATTTTGCATTTTCATTTTTTTTTGTACCTTGATGTATTAAAACTATGGAATCAATTTTCCACCTAAAGTATTGCATTAAAAAAAAGCATGAAACCAAAATTTTAAAACGCAAATAAAAATATATTGCACAAAATAAAAAAATGACAGCAAAGTTTTCAGATAGCAAACAATGGCCACAGATTGAAAAATAATAAATATATATATATATATATATATATATATATGAAATAACAAAACAAAATTAAAATAATGAATTCGAAATATGAATAGAAATTGTAACAGTATATCTCAATGATGCTAAAATAAAACACATATATAATTTAATTAATTAATAACCATTTTAAATTTTTACATTTGTTATTATTAAATTTTTTACAATGTGAAGCCTTTTGCTAAATATGAGTTGTTTTTTTTAAATATGCTATAGAAATAAATGTAAATAAAATTAAACAAAACCAAAACATCACTCAAGAATGTGATGTTTTCTGAATTCTTGCTGCTAAAAATTAACATCAAAACCACTTTTACTCTGAATTGATGAAAATGCAAAAGCAAATAAAACAGCAGTAATTCATTCATATATACATTGACCTAGAACCATATTAGAGCTATAGTATAAAAATATATTTATATTTGCACACATTATTTTCATGCACAGCCATATTAGTGCTAGATCTGTGCTTGATGTGAACTGATCTTAGTGAAGAGAAGACAGTGATGAAGATGATGCTCCTCTGCTCTGATATTGATGAATCAATCTGACAGTGATAGATCGATCACACACACACACACGCACACACACGCACACACACGCACACACACACACACACACACACACACACACACACAAGCCCTTTAATCAGACCTACAGCTCTCTCTTTCTGACAGCGAATCTCTCGTTCTCTCATTTGTTAATGAAATATTCTGTGTAATTTGGCTGTCAGAGCAACAATTGAACCCGCAGACAGTCGATTCTTCACCTCTTAAAGATGCTGTGGAGATGAAGGTGTCTGTCCCTGACGGGGTTAACGGCTCATATTCATTAAATGAACTCAGACGAGTTTCCAGATTAGAGCTGTAAGACACGGAGCTCGTTCATTCATGAGCTGCTCTGATGGTCTGATACTGAAATCACACACTCACACTGACACTCACACTCACACTCTCACACACACACACACACACACACACACACACACACACAC